TACATATATTGTATGATATGGTATGATATATAAGATATATATATGTGTGTAAGTGCAATCAATATCTGCTCCAGTGGGTATATTCTTAATCTATATTGTGAGATGAAATAAGGCGAACGATGTGTTTGACTCAACTTACGGCCTTCCCTCGTTTCCTCTGCGGTACTGTTTGAGTATTGGACATATCGTCCGAGTATCGTTTTGATACGGTCTTGCAGTTGGGAAACACACGGTTTGTCCATTCTGACGGCAGAGTATAGAATTACATGTACATAGCTCAATTGTATTCAAAATCACTATCTAATTGTAAAGTATTTAAAAACTTTGTAACAAAACAAAGATGATCAGTCCCCAGTATGTATTCAACCCAAGCAACCTTGAACAAGAGCTTTAGCCTCGATACATATATTAAAATAACCGGCGTATTGTACCGTATTTCTGCAAGCAAGCGGTATCTGAATACTGTCACTGAATGTTAGACAGGCTGCCAGCGCAGCCTTTTTTTTTTCACACTCAAGAAGTTTTCTGTGATTCATGCTTTGTAAAAGAACACTAATGGAAACTCGCAGGTCAAATTCACACCAATAAGAAAACTCACAAAGACCAAAGTACACAGTAACTGATGATTTCCACCAATTAGAAACCTCAAAAATTTGCTAGTGCCTTCTGCATTCTGCTGGTGACTGGGGAGTGGGGTGAGTTTGGTCTCTGGATCAAAGTCTCGAGAGGTCTTTGAGGCGAAAATCAACGTAAATACATATTTCATTTTTTTTTAATAATTTTAAAAATAGCGAGTCCCTGTCTGACTCCCTGATCCAGATGTGTTTTTTTTAAAGAATATTTAATAAAACAAATAGGTCGCTTGCAGAGGCCAGGCCGCCAGTTTTTTAAAAGTTTTTCTAAAACAAAAGTACAAATGCACACTTTTAAACCGAGGCTGCCAAGCCCGCCAAATGCGAATCCTGAACTCCTATTTGTTTTAGGAAGAATTAGCATAGCCTTCTAAAAAATAGCCAGAATTAGCAGGATACGTATGTCTGGCGCCGTAGAGATTAGGATATCTAAATATTTTGTATTTTCATTTTGAAATAGGGCTTTTTTTAATTCAAAATATGCTCAACATGGCTCATCAACATTAACAATCATCACATGACTCATGACTTCACGAAGCACAAGACTGGTCACAAGGGACTTTCATCCAACAGCTCGAAGAGGAGGAAACCCTTTTTAAAACAACAAAACGGCTTCGCAACTTTAAAATTAACGTTTATTCTCCGCACTTCGGTAATTGTTTTATAGAGGATATCTGAGTAGTTTGTGGGTACCGCGTACTATATTTACGTTTTTGAAGACGTTGAAACGATCTTCGAAACAACTAGGAACTCGTTTTGGAAATCCAGAGTTCCCAGGAAGCTATGAGTAATAGTTCCTTGAATTATGATTGGCTTGTGTATTTCAGTCACATGTAATAAGGATATTTCATTGGACGCAAACATGTTTTATCAGGTAAAATGAGAAGAGATGACAATCAAGCTCATCACAAGGGCCAGCCAAATAATACTGGATATATGAATTTTATAATACGACCCGCATGGTGCTGACTATAACTTGAAAGACCAAATAAGATACACAGTTTCAAACGCGTACAGCTGTTGTAAACTTCATTATTTATTACTATTAAATATTCTTGTGTGTGCGTGTAATTGTAATAGAAGTGCTAAAAGAGTCGAATATCCAGTTGTTCCGAATAGGCGAACAGATAATAATAAATATATCAAGTGTTGCTTAATCCCTGGTAAGCGCACATAATCACACGTTTGCACGTAGGCAAAACAATACAGTTTCAATATGTCTGGAAGCCCTAAACCACCGAATCAGACTCATTCTGGGGAGGATCATGTAGGAGTTGAATTTGCCGCTGGTGTAGCCGCCGGCGTGGATTCCCCACGCCAAGGCAGGCATGCGCGACAGAATAGTTGTCCCTCGTTGTACGAGTTAACGGACGATGAAATGATGAACGACCCCCCCGTGGCACCCAGAGAAGCCAGGTTAGGGCGGTCGCACTCTGTGAGTCGAATCCGACCGCACAGGAGGCCGTACAAGTATGTTTAACTCGTATCGTAGTACAAGTATGTGTAACTAGTGGTTAGATGTGCTGATTGGGAATCTAGATATTATCTCAGTATGCTCTTGATTACTTCTTCCCAGTTACTTTTCTGTTTTAAATGATTGCTTCCTTGTATATTTATATTTACAAGTCTAAGATATGGTATGCATCCTTCAACACTTTGAAAGGTTCTACTATCTTCCTCAGTTTTCAAACCTATACGATTATCTATCAGGTGAATGTACGTCCGTTTGATGCATACTATACAATGTACCAGTAAATGTATCTGCACAATCAATACATATGTATTTATATATATTTATATATATATATATATATATATATATATATATATATATGTGTGTGTGTGTGTGTGTGTGTAGTNTGTTGTGTGT